GTGTCACCTCACACTGGGTGCCCACACCCTGCAGGTTCCGGGCTCCAAACACCCCTGGGCTCGGGGTTTTAGATAAGGGATGGGAACACGAACCAGGCCCCGCCACAGCACATCGGAAGCCAGGTTCAGTCATGGCTTCTCTGAGCAGCCAAGGTGGGACTCCAAACCTACACGCACCCATCTGTATTGTTCTGGGGACAGCCCTGTGGGGCGCCTGGACTCCCATCTCCCCAGAGAGCAGCAGTACCTCCACCCCCTGTTCTGTATCCTCCTCCTCCCCTTCCTCCTCCTGCTGCGGGGCAGGGCAGGCTGGGCGTTCCTGCTGTTCCTGCCGCTCTTGTCGCCCCTGCTGGAAGCTGGCAATGGCTTTGCGGTCTTTCTGTCGCTTGGCGCGCATCACCTGGCAGCTCAGGTCCCGGCTGGAGGCGTTGATCTCAAAGATGGTCTGCGGAGGGCACACTCAGGAACTCTGCCTGCGGGCCACCCACCCCGCCCCCAGCTGGGGGAGCTCTGGCATTCCTGATGGGCACACTTGGTGGCATCTGCAGGGCAGTTAGGAAGGGAGGCTGAGGAGGGCAAGCTACCTGCCATAGGCCACGCAGCCGGAGAAAGCTGGGGCTCCCAAGAACACCACTCACGACACTGGCTACCTGCAGACCTCTGCTGGCCAAGGGCATGTTGTCCCGTCTCAGCCCCACGGCCCTGAGTCTGCCTGCCCCGCAGTGAGTGATGGTGCCAGGGCTTCCTCTGAGGGGCACACAGAACCAGGGCTGGGGGCTGCCTGGGGCCCAGAGTGCAGCTCTAACCCGGCCCAGCCGTGGCGGTCACTCACCGTCCGTGCACGGTACTTCTTAATGCTGTCCACCAGCTGTAGGCGCTGCAGCTCCTCCTGCTGGCAGCGTGAGCCTGGCAAGAGGGCAGTGTGAGCCCAGGCCCTGCCCCGCTGCCTGCCCACCTCCGGCCCTGGGCACCGGACTCACTGAAGAGCGGGTGCAGGCCCAGCGCGGCCAGGTCCAGTTCCTTGGTCCTCTTGATGGACTCGGGCGAGGGCGCGGGGCGCGAGCGCACGTACTGGCGCTGTGCGTTGTCGGCCACACGGCCCAGGCTCCTCAGCTCCAGCTTGGCCTCCAGGCTGTGCTGTAGGCTGCAGTCCTCGTCGTCCACCACGCTCTGTGGCACCCGGCCCAGCACGCCGTCGTCCCCTGCCAGCCCACGCAGCGCCCTGGTCACAGGCTGCCCTCTGACCCCCATGACTGCCCCCTACCCCGCCCCCAGGCCCCAAGCCAAGGAAACAGTGACAGGGCTGCCGTTGTGGCCCAGCAGCCAATATCCCTAATCAGATCGCAGGTTCAGGTCCTGGCTGCTCTGCTTCTCATCCAGCTCCCTGCTAATGGTCCTGGGAAGGCAACAGAGGATGACCCAAGCGCTTGGGCCCATGCCACCCATGTCACCCAGATGATGGCTCTGGGCAGGCCCAGCCTTGGCTGCAAAGGCATTCGAGGAGTAAACCCAAATGGAAGTGGATGGAAGATTTCTCCCCCCATCATTTCTGCCTTTCCAATATATAAAATTAAAATGAGTCTTTTAAGAAAACTACTCAGCTACAATAGAAATGCTGGCAAGGACAGCAGCAGCCAGCAGCCACGACAATTAACGCCGAGTGCCTGGAAACAGGGTGTGACCAGCCACAGCAGGGGCTGTGCCCAGGGCTCTGCGGCTGAATGGAATTCTGAGCCCTCCCAGAGCCTGGACAGGCTGTGTCCTGCCTCCATGCCCTCCGCCCTCCACTCACCTGCGGGTTCCTCACTGGGGTAGGCAAGAGCCAGGGAGCGGCCCAGGAACAGGTGTAAGTCCAGCAGGTAGGGGAGCTCGTCTGGGGCCACCAGAGAGTAGGCTGTGCCACTGCGGCCGGCCCGGGCCACGCGGCCTATGGAAGGGATGGTCAGGTTTTTGCTGAGTGGAAGATCTCCAACCCAACACCAGAGCTGTGTGCGGGGTGACCACACAGCTTAGGCCCCTGCCTGTTTATGCAAATAAAGTTTTACTGGCACCCAGCCCTGCTTGCTGGTTCACCTGAATGGCATGCAGAGCGGCCTACTGAGCCCTAGGTGCTCACTGCCAAGCACCACGGGAGGGACAGGGTGACAACAGGAAGAGCTCACATCAAAACTGCTGTGTCCAGCTGTGTGGACCCACGGGTTCGCGCTGGGTTAGTCTGTCACCTGGAGACTGACGAGTCCCTGCCCTGTGCCGTGGGTTGTGGGGTTGAGTAAGTTCCCTGGGGAGCCGTGGGGACATGGGCCATGACCCCCGGCCCTGCTCTGTGGCTGGCGCCTGCTGTGGTGACAGGGCTGTGGCCACCAAGTGGGAACCAGGCCCTGGCCCGGTGCCTTCTGGCAGCCATGCTCGTCTTTCTGGTTCTCCCAGTGCACACAGATAAGCAGTGGGTGCACTGAGTCCCCTCCCCTGCCACCATCTGCCCTGGCGCCTCAGAACGTGACTTTGGCTGGACCCAGGGTCACTGTCGGCCTCGTCAGCCAAGATGAGGCCACCCCAGAGGGTGGACACCTGCACCCGACACAGAGGGGACATCTGGGGACTGACAGAGATGTGGCAAGAAGGATGGAGGGAGTGCAAGCATGCAGGAGTGGGCTGGCAGTGTGAAGCTGAGAGCAGAGACCACGAAGACCACACATGGCCCCCGACCCGCAGCACGGAGGACACTTGGGCCTGCAGAGGCAAGACACGCAGGGGAACCCTGTCTGTGCGATTTCACTACAACAGCCCAAGTAACGCACAGGCTTTTCAACAAACCGCAGTGATGGCTGTGCGGCTGGCCACCAAGACCCCCAGGACCCCCGCACAGCATCTGGGCTTGTTTCCTGGCTCTGCCTGCCAACTCCAGCTCCGGCCGTGGCAGAGCTGGCCGGCAGCAGCGAATGGCCCAGGTTCTCTGCATCCTGTCCACCCATGTAGGAGACCTGGGTTACGTTCCTGGCTCCCAGACTTGGCCCGGCCCAGCCTCTCCTGCTACTGCAGCTGCTGATCACCAAGGAATGAGCCACGGGTGGCACCTTCGTCCCTACCTCTCTCAGAAATTTTTGTTTGGTGGGCCTGGCGTAATGGCTCAATTGGCTAATCCTCCCCTAAAGGCGCCAGTTCATGTCTCAGCTGCTCCACTTCCCATCCAGCTCCCTGCCTGTGGCCTGGGAAAGCAGTCGAGGACGGCCCAAGGCCTTGGGACCCTGCACCCATGTGGGAGACCTGGAAGAAGCTCCTGGCTCCTGGCTTCAGATCGGCTCAGCTCTGGCTGTTGCGGCCACTTGGGGAATGAATCAGCGGACAGAAGATCTTCTCTGTCTCTCCTCCTCTCTGCATATCTGACTTTGCGATTAAAAAAAACTTTAAAAAATTTTTTTGTTTTGTTTTTAAAAATAATTTGAAAGGAAGAGTAACTTAGAAGGAGAGAGAGGTCTTCCATCCATTGCTTTATTCCCCAGATGGCTTCAACAGCTGGTGCCAGACCAGGCCACAGCCAGGCGCTGGGCACTTAACGCGGGTCTCCGACGCACGCTGGCCTGAGCACTGGGCCAGCCTCTGCTGCTGTCTTGGGCCCATCCGCACAGAGCTGGATTGAACATGGAGCAGCTGGAACTCATCCCGACGCTCAGGTCGGGTGTCACAAGTGCTGGCTTGTTCCACTGCGCCACGATGACAATCCTCTCACAAGCAAGGACAGAGCAGGGCCCTGATGGGACAGAGCTCCAGGGGGGTGGCTGTGAGACTGCACTGGGCAGGACCCAGGCAGCAGACCGGGAGATGGGGGGCACGAGCCGGGGGCGCACAGGGTGGCGAGGGGGCTGCTTACCCACACGGTGCAGGAACAACTTGCCCTTGGCAGGGAAGCTGTAGTTGATGACATTGTCCAGCAGGGGGATGTCCAGGCCCCGGGCGGCCAGGTCCGTGACGATGAGTGTGGAGCACTTGCCGTGCGTGAACTTGGCCAGGTTGATTTTACGGGCCGTCTGGTCCAGGGCACTGTAGATGTGGGCGCAGCTCACGCCCTGGGCCGTCAGCAGCTGTTCAGATGGAGCAAGGATGGCGGGGTGGTAAGATCACTTGGGCCAGGACCAGGAGACCCCAACCCCACTGGATTTTCCCGCCCCACAGGAAAGTCCAGTGGCAAAGGAGATGCTGTGTGCCACGGCTCCCTCAGGTCCATTAGACTTGTGGCGGGAGCTTAGCCCATGCCTCGCCTTCCTTGTCTGCAGAATGGGACACCGCTGGCCCCATGTGCTTAGGTGAGAGGGTTGGATGGATGCACAGAGGTGTAGTGTGGTGGATACTCCGCAATGCCCCTCTGCAGCTGTTACCCCGGGCACCACGGCAGCCCCCATGGCTACGCAGAGGACACACCGTGAACGCATACTGAGTGGAACCTGTGACATGAGCCCTCAGGTGGCTGCCCGACGGGGCAAAGGGGTGGGGGCGGGCACAGGCTCTGGGCACAGTGCCTCCCTTGGCTTTGGTCTGGCCAAAGGCCACATGGACCATGCAGCTGAGCAAACGCATTGGGCTGCTCCACATGACCTGGGCCTTCCCACAGCTCACTGCACACAGGGTTTAAAAAAAAAAAACTCCAAAACAAAAAACAAAGCCATACTGGACACTGAAAATCTACCATACAAAATAAGAACAGGCTGGCAGGGTGCCCACTGGCCTGGGCAGGAGGGGAAGACGGACGATTGCTGGGCACGAGCTGGTGCCAGGGAGCTCAGACAACGGCTGCCACAATGAATCAATTTAATCAAATCAAATGCATGTTGACCAGTAGCTAAACACCCACTCCAAGACACAATTTCACCAAGTTAGTATGTCTTTTTCATAATAAATAATTGAATAGACAGTGGGAGTGGGCAAGGAAAGAATCATTATATTCTTAGAATTGTGTCTATGGACCCTAGCGAACCTGTTAAAAAAAAAAAACTAAACAAAAATAGCCTTGAAGCCCTGTGTCCCATTCTGGTGCTTCCCTCTGGTGGCCACACGTGGAACTGCGGGCAAGGTTCCAGATGGAGAAGAAGGTGCTACAGGCAGGGTCCCCCGGGGTCCGCCCCAGCCAGACCCTGCCCACCTCAGTCAGGTACTCTGCGTGGTGCTTCGTGGCCACAAACACCACCGTCTGGTCCTGGGGCCGCACCACGTTACGCAGCAGGTGAAGCAGCACGGCGGCCTTGGTGTCCTCACGCACCAGGAAAAAGGAAGTCTGTAGGGAGAAGGGTGGGCAGTGCGGGTCCCCAGGAGCTGCAAGGCCCGCCAGGGAAACGGGGGCAGGCCCAGCCTCACCTTAAGCTGCTCGTTGAGTTTGGCATCCACGTCCAGGCGGATGAGCACAGGCTCCGTGAGGCCTGTGGAAGGAACAGGATCGGGGGTCTCTGAGGGCAAGACCCCTTCCCCACCCTACAACGCATCACCCTGGGCTCCCTACCCCGAGTCAGTGGCCCCCAGCCCACTCACCTGCCCGAGCAAACTCCACCAGCAGTTTGGGCAGTGTGGCGGAAAACAGCACCGTCTGGTGGCCCCCAGGGAGGCGGCCGAGGATTTCCTGCAGCTGCTCAGCAAAGCCCATCTCGAAGAGCCTGAGCGGGCCGGGGAGGAGAGGGCTCCTGATGGCACAGCAGGCTGACACCCCTGGTCACCCCATGGCAGGCGGGAGCGCCACTGCCAGTCCCAGCTGTTCCCCTTCCCATCCAGCTCCCTGCTGACCTGCCCAGGAAGCGGTGGGAAGATGGCTCAGGTACTTTGCGCCCCTGCACCCATGTGGGAGACCCAGATGGAGTTCCAGACTCTGGGCGCTGGCCTGGCCCTGGGCATTTGGGAGGCACACTGCCTCTGTCAGTGCCTTTGAAGTAAGTCATCTCATAGATAGGAGAGGCCGGAACAAGCATGAGCAGCCCTCACTGTGTGCTAGGCTCGGCTCCGTGCGCATGATGAGGCCACCCATCCATGGGTGACGGAGGAAGCCGGGCCTCGGAGACCCCAGTGGCCGCTCCAGCCCGCTGGCAGAGGCAGCAGGGCGAGGCTCTGCCCCAGCCCGAGTCCTCTGCGATTTATCCTGCAGACAATCCCAGCCAGGGGCCCTGGCGCCGGGCTCCCGTGCAGCCCCCTCACCTGTCGGCCTCGTCAAACACGACATACTCCACACTCTGTAACTTCAGGTTCATCTCCACGGCCACGTGCACCAACCGCCCTGGGGTGGCGATGATTCTGCCAGGGGTGCAATGGCCGAGTCACCCACCACCGGGCCCTGTCCCCCCCGGCCACCTGGGGGCAGACCCCAGCCCTCACCCCTGCTCCACACACTCACATGTCGGGATTCTCGTGTAGGGCCGCAAACTGGTCTTCCATTCTGGGGAGGGGAGAGGAGGGGAGTTGGGGGACAGAACAGGCTCTGTAGTTTCTCCCTTCCCACAACCAAGTGCCAAGCTGAGCTCTGACCCTCACCCCAAAGAACACTGACCAGAGAGGGAAAGCTAGTGCTGAAATACTAGGCAAAGGCATTGCTCCAACAGGAGACGCAAGTGGAATCACACAGAACTGTGACAAGCAAGGGTGCTCAGAGGACGGGGTCACCCCAGATCCCCCCTCCTACTCCACAGCAGCGGAGCTGCCCATGATGCCCCAGCAATGAACACTGCCTGCATCAGCCAGGTTAGACTGCCACCCAGGCCCCTCTGCCACCATGTGCCCTTGTCCTGACCAGGGCAGACTGGAGCCAGGTCCCAGCTCCACCGTGTCCTCAGGCATGGTGGACACCTTGGCTTCTGTGCACATATGACACACCCCTGGGCATCCAGGACAGTGGCTATGTGCAGGCACTGCTGACCAGCCCGGTGCCCATGAGAGCCACGGGGCAGGGATCTTACTTGTCTCCTCCAAGGATCAGGGCCGTCTTGAGGCCGGTGAATTTGCCCAGCTGTGGAGACACAGGGAGAGGGTGAGGGGGGCTGCTGGAGCTCATGCCTGGGCACCCCAACCCCTCAGCTGCCCGCTGCTAGGGCCCACCTCTTTGGTGAACTTCATGGTCTGCAAGGCCAGCTCCCGGGTGGGCGACAGCACCAGTGCACGGGCCCCAGTCTGGGCACTGCGGGCCTTGAGCCGCTCGAACATGGGCAGGAGGAAGCAGGCCGTCTTGCCACTGCCCGTGCGGGCCATGGCCACCACGTCCTTGCCATCCAGGATCACGGGGATGGTCTGCAGGGGTACGGGGATACAGAGGGAGGGTCCCTGATCCTATCCCCACAGGCCCCATCCTTGGGGTGACTCCGGCTCAACCTCCTGACCGGCGCCTTCCCAGAACCCCGTCTGAGGACACCAGCATGCACCCAGAGGGACAAGGCATGTGGGCAGGGGCTCAGCAGCAGGAGGTCTCCCAGTGGGTGGGCTCCGAGGGCTGCCAAGAGACCCTTACCTTCCTCTGGATGGGCGTCGGCACCTTATAACCCTTCTTCATGACACCCTTGAACACGGGGTAGCTCAGGCCTGGAGACACGGCAGCCGTCAGGGTCACCGGGCACAAATGAACAGCAGAGGGGAGCAGCCATGGAACAGAAAGGCTAGCCGGCACTTGGGGAGACGCACCTGCCCACGGCCAACCCTATTTGCGTTCCGATCTGGGCACAAGATGTATGAGCTGGACGGGGGGCCAAAGCTGGGAACTTGGGTGGCGGACGCCCAGCTCCATGAGTCACCATGGCTGTCCCTCAAAGCCCACACTAACAGGAACCCGGAACCTCAGGTACAGCTGGGATTCGAACCCAAGCACTCTGAGGTGGAAAGTGGATATCCCCAACAACACCTGCCCCCCCCGGAACCCTCAGAAGGTCACAAGACGAGGGCTGGGATGTTGTGGTACACGGGGCATGGCCCCACTGGCTGGCCGGCTCACCCATGGACTGGAAGCCCCCCGACTTCTTCTTCCTCTGCTGGGCCCGCACCATCTGCCGGGTGTCCAGCTCCACGTCCGAGGCGCACTCCGAGCTGGGAAAGGTAGGCAGGGCTCGGCTGGGGCCCGGCTAGGAAGAATCAACAGGGGCTGCGTCACTCTTGGTGGGTGGACCAGGTCAGCAGGGAGGAGCAGGGCCCAGGGCAGATGCCCCCGGCATGCCCTGCAGAGGCACGGCCTGGGCCTCTCTCTCTGCCAGCTGTGAGACCTGGCCTGGGAGGATGGCAGATCTTCACACCTGTCCCTCCATCATGCCAAGGTTACAGGCTTTGGTCCCAAAACTATTCAGAAGCTACTGCTACCGGGAAACGAGGGTGCCAGTCGCTGGCCCAGAGGGTTAACAGGATGCAACGATAATTCTGTGCCCTGAGCCTGCAGCCTGGCACGCAGCCATGCATGGCTAAGATCTTGTAAATAATAATAATACTTTGTTCGTGGGGACGCCACTGTCTCCATCCACCAGGACCTCCTCCCCGAGAACGCCCCAAACGATCCAAGTGGGAATGGCACCCGCACTTCTCATTGGACCGACGGGCACTCGGATCCGTCCCCCGGGCAGGCAGGAGCCAATGAGGGGGACGCGATGGAGGCCAGGCCCGACCCCGGGGAAGCAGCGGGAGAGGCAGGCCCCGAGACGCGTGTTCAAGCCGGCCGCCTTCCCCACGCGCTCTGCCCAGTCCACTGCCCAGCTGGGGAAACTGAGGCCGTGGGGAGCTGCCCGGACCCGCCACTAGGGTCCCCCACGCGTGTCCCACCTTTCGGGCCCGGGTGTCATCTTCCGCCTGGATCTCAAACTCGCCGTCCTCCGAGTCGCTGTCGCGGGCCTGGGAGGCCGCGCCCCTGCGCTGCCGGAGCCCTTTCTTCTTCCTCCACTGGGCCATGGCGGGTCGCGTCCCCGCTCCGGACGCCGCGCGCGTGCCGGCCGCCATGCGGGCCCCGGCGCAGGGAACCCGGAAGTGGGCGTGGCCTGTGGGACGAACCAACTGTGCAGCCGAGGCCGGGGGGGAAAGGAGGATGCTCCTTGGGCACCCGCCACGAAGACAGAAGGCCTCGACGCTGCACGCCGCGCTCCAGCAGCCGCCGGACGCCTAGGCCAGCGACGGGCTCACGCTCCGGGGCTGGCACGGCAGGTCCGTGTCTCGGGGAGCGGGAGCATGGAGTGCGGCGTCCCCCCCGCGGTGTGGATGGGTCTGGCCGGGGAGGTCCTGCTGCCTGGGACCGGCTTTGGGTTGCAGGGTGGCTGCGCGCGCTGGGCGCCTGTCGCTTAGTGCCCTTGCTGCCCCGGGTCACCGGGACCGAGCTGTTGGAGCTGCGACGGAACCCTGGGATGCAGCGCGCACCGACCTGTGTGGGCCGCCCGCGAGCCGGGGTGCTCAGGTAGGGAGGAGGAGACCCCTGGCGTGACACGGGGTGTGGGCGTAGGGGCTCCGTGACGATGTGTGTGGGTGCACATCACATTCAGGTTGTGCCTCCCGCCTTGCAGTTGGCCGGGTGTGACCCGCACGTGGCGCTCCGCCTTCTGACGCCTCGGCTTTGGGGTCCGTCCGGCGAATGGATGGGATCCTAGCTGCTTCCCAGGGCTTTGGAGAGGATGAAGCGAGGCTATGCCTGCTGAGCTCTTTGCACGAGGTAGGCGCAGGGTCCGTGGCGGCCGTGGTCGTCCCCCGTCTGCCCCCTCAGGGTGTGGAAAGCTGCCTGCGTCTCCCGCTGGCATGAAGCTCTTTCTGTTTCCGGGCTGCAGCACTCCATTCCCCAACAGGACAGGACACCCCTAAATGTCCGTAACGCCCCCCCCCCCCCACTGGGCGCAGGCAGCTGGCCTTCCCCCGGGAGAGGGAAGGAGGCAGCCAGGCCTCTTGGCCCTGGGAGGGGACCTTTGTCTGCCAGCCCTGCTGTTGGCTCAGCCATGGCTCCCTGATCCCCTTTCCCAGGGAGCCCCGGCGGCAGGGCCTGGAAGGCAGGGCGCACCTATGGTCACCTGTGACTGCGGACAGCATGAAGCCCCCGGAGGAGCCGGCCAGCGGCAATGGGATGCGTCGCTGCCGGGTCAGGGTCAGGGCCAGGGCGTCCTATGTGGATGAGTCTCTGTTTGGCAGTCCCGCGGGCACCAAGCTGCCCCCACCAGACTTTGACCCACCCTGGGTGGAGACAGCCCGCCCAGCCAGAGCAGTGGTGGGCTCAGGCACATCGAGGACCCCAGCAGCCAGGGGGAACTGTGAGACCACAGCGTCTGGGGGCAGCACCTCGACCCTCACACCGAAGAAGAAGAACAGATACAGGTAATGGGATGGGGAGAGGTGCCTGAGGGTCAGTCCCAACCCTGACCTGGGGCAGGCACCTTGAACAATCTGATCTCCATGTGGGAAACAGGACCAGGGACCCTCCACTTGTGGGACTGGCGGGAGGGGTAAAGGAGGGAGGAGCATGGGAACCCAATACGGGGAAAGGTTGAGACAGTGCGCACAGGCCATGAGACCATGACCCTGGTGGACCCATGTGGGAGTGCCCGAATTTGGCAGGTAGTTCTGGAAGTGGGCCTGGCTGCTTTGCAGGAGCAGGTTAGAAAGACAAGCTGGTGGGCAGTGGTGCTTACTGCTGGGTGACTTGGATTTGAGGGAGGTGTCTAGTTTGGAGCCACTTGGCTCTCACCCCCCCCCCTTTTTGCAGGGGGGTTGCTTTGGCTGTGGGGGAAAGAGGGAAGTTAGCAAGACTGCATGGCGGTACGCAGGCATGCCCAGGGTGAGCTGGAAGAGCTGAGAGTGGCTAGGCTGGGGAGATTTGCTGGGTTAGCAACAGAAGTAGTAACAGTTGCCAAATGGACCCCTCTGCAGGCAGACTCTGCCTTGCACAGTCGGACCACACAGCAGCAGGGGCCATGGCTCAGCTGATGAAAAACTCCAGCAAGTAGGAAAAACTAAAGACTCTGGTTACACTAACTGGGACAGCAGAACTGACTAGAGCAGCCCAAGGGCTCTGGGGCTCATGCTGCCCTTGGACATCTGCCTCCTCAGGGCACCTCTGCCCTGCATCTCCACCCCGGCCCAGCAAGCACAGGTGGCAGAAAGTCATCTTCCTGGTAGCTTCAGCAAAGGGCAGACCTAGGTCAGGTGGCCTCTTCTGAGCCAACCAGCATGGCAAGGCAATGGAATATGCAAATTGGCCAGGCAGGGCTTGAGGGGGGGGGGATGCAGAATGGGGTCCAGGTGGGAAGGGGCCGGTGGATCGGGATTGGGCGTGTTCAGGGTGGTATGGCCGTAGACCAACTGGGGGAACAGTAGCAGGGAGGAGCCGACAGATCCTGTGAGGCATGGCCTAGCTGGGATGCCCAGCTAGATGGCAGGGACTCCTTGGCTGCTGCTGCATGTCGGACGGGGGCTGTGAAGCCCCCCTCAGCTCACTGCCTTTCTCTCCCAGACTCATCAGCCACACTCCATCTTACTGCGACGAGTCGCTCTTTGGCCCCCGGCCTGAAGGCAGCAGCTGGCAGACCTCATGGACGACAAAGGGGAGCACAGCCAAGCTCCATACACTCCTCTGGACGCCACCACCCACCCCCAGGGAGACCCCACTGCGAGCAGTGCATCCCACTGCTGCTGCTGCCGCCCCGGGGACAGAGCCCAGGGTGCTGGGAGAGCCCAGAAGGCGGTCCCCTGGCCCCGTGGGCTCCCCACGCCTGCAGGGGCGGGCGCGCTCCCCTTCCCTCCCTTGTCTCAGTGGTCCTGACTCCGCTCACCCCACGTCCTGTACCCCCGATGCGCGTGAGCCTCGGAATCCCAGGCTGTCCACATCGGGGGTGACCTTCCGGAGCCCACTCGTGACACCCAGGGCGCTCGCCGTCAGCATTTCAGTGCCAACGACTCCCCGACCAGGAGGCATTACCCAGAAACCAAAGCCTCCGTGGAAATGAGGGTCTTTTGTCAGCTTTGCCCGTGGGGGTTTGGCTGGGGCAGGGATAGACTGGGCAGCCCCCACCCCACCTTACCCCCTCCCCCTGGAGCCAGCACAGTCGTGCCTCCCCGCTGCTCCCTGCTTCGCTCCAAGCTGTGTACTGTGGGGCATTTCTCCAGCTGTCAGCCACACTTCAACTCAGTGCCAATGCAGGGGCTTCTGCCTCTCCATCCCGTGAGACTGGTCATGCTGCCCAGCGTGTGTAGCCCGCGTGGGGTGTCCTTCCCCCTCCCTTCCAGCCAGGCCTCTGCTCAGGGTGGGCTGGGTGGGAGTCTGGAGGCACGGGCGCCTCTGTGGGTGGTATGTGGGTGAGCGCGTCTCATGTTAACAGTCATGTATTCAATACATCAGGAGCTCATGAGAGCCATGAGTGATATTTTTTCCCCTCAACCAGGCCATTGTACCCGAGTTCACTAAAAGAATCGAGTTAAGTGATGCCCACTGTTGGTTGACCCAGGGAAGGGGCAGGCGGTAACAGGCTGGCTTCTTCCTGCCTTGGTTTTTAGTCCGTGCCACCAACTGGTTGGACAGCTGACTTCCCTGAGTTTGTTTTGTTTTTTTAAAGATTTGTTTGAAAGCCAGAATTACTGAGACAGGGAACCCTTTATTCACTGCCCAAATGACCATGAAGGTCAGGGATGGACCAGGCCAAGTCTAGGAGCCTGGGCCCTGGCCTCCCCTGTTGTGGGGAGCAGTGGCCCAAGAAACCAAGTGCCTGAGCTGTCGCCTGCTGCCTTCCGGGGCACACATGAGCAGGAAGGTGGGATTTAGAAGCTGGGCTGGGACTCGAACCCAGGCCCTCTGATAGGATGTAGGCGTCCCAGGCAGTGCCTTAACCACGGAGCTCAATGCCTGCTCCAGCCACGCTTATGCCATTTTTAAATAACACAGTCATGTACCATAGAACATTCTACTCAACACCCAGGAAACACCACACGCCTTCAAGTGTGTTGCACTATGACGTTCCCTCAACAAGATCCCCTGCTGATGCGCTGGAGGCCATATCGGCCATCGCTTCCCTGCTGAACCAAAGTGTGGTGGGTCCAAGCAGGCCAGCCAGCACGCACTTGACCCTGCTCTGCCGCTGTTCCCTCCAGACCTGGGCTGGAGTCACTCAAAATCATCATGGTCCTTGCCCAGAGGGAGTGAGGTGAGTCCTGTCCTGGTTTTTCCTTAGTTGCTGGCATTTGAAGAAGTAGGGGACAGTTCCTGGCTCTGGCTTTGGCCTGGTCCAGCCCCAGATGTTTGGGAAGCTAACCAGCGTGCGAGTGCTTCAGCTGCCTTGGCACCCAGCGGAGCCAGGATGTGGCTGCTGGTGTATGACTGCATTGGAGCTCGGGCTGTGCTGGGAGGGAATGAGGTTGTGGCTAAGAGGTTAATTCCTGAGCTGGGCTAAGGGTAGTCCCAAATCTGGGAGTTGTGTGCCCCTCCCCCTGCCCCGGGCAGCTGTGACCTACACCCCACCACAACTGTAACGTGTAGGCTTGGGGCTCCCCATCTGGTTCCCTCGCTGTACCCCCAGGCTGTGGCGCCTGCCCCTCTCCTCTGCACGTGGCCTCTGGACACACCGACACACAGCAGCAGCCCTGGGTAGACGGAGGTTTTATTTGTAAGAGGCTCTGCTTCTGGGTGGGAGCACCTGGGAGGGCGGGTGTGGGGCAGGGCTCACTTCTTGCCTTTGCCCTTGCCCTTGCCCTTGCCTTTGTCCTTGTCCTTGCCCTTGGCCTTGGCCCGCTTCTTCTTCTTGGACCGGAGCATGGAGCGGACCAGGTAGCCCTTCCACACGGCCTGGATGATTGTGGCCGCGCGCACCATGCGCACCATCTCGTGCTCCGCCTCCATCCTCTTCTTGGAGAGGATCTCGCGTTCCGTGCGGATCTGGGAGTACTCCTCCACCAGCACGTCGTGCTTCCGCTTCAGCTCCTCTAGCTGGGCCTTCTCCTCCTTGTGGACGACTTCCAGGTCCTCGTACTCCTCCTGG